TAAGCCTAACAGGCATGACTCCCTATTAGTACTATAGTACAAGTTAAAATTCACAAGAGAGAATTTAAACACAAGAATTTTCCTGGAGTCTCCCAAATCTCTCTAGTCTCATCTGCTCATCATTAGTCATAATGGGACCCACCTAGGCCTGAGCAGCTGTAATCGGTTGGGCAGGTACTACCCTCGGTATCTGAAGTCCCTGCACTACCTGCTCTGGAATACGGGCGACGGGAGTATGAGTACCTCCCCCGGCCTAAGAAGTGGCTGGTGCGGCCTGAGCCGAAACTACCTGAGCAAGGCCAGTGCAAACAGTCAATATTTGGGCCAAAGCCTCCTGAAGCCTGTAATCAAAATGGGCACAGTTGGTGCCTGAGATGGCCCCACTGGCTCAACCACATCCGGAACCTGCTCCTGAGCTGGAGCAACTGGTGGATCAGTAAGTGTTGCTCTAGTTGTTGTACGAGCTGCACCTCTGCCCCTACCGCATCCCCTACCGCGACCTCGGCCTCTCGTGGCCCTAGCTGGTGGTACTGGTGGTTGGTTGTCCTGTCCGGTAGCACGTGTTCTCACCATCTGTGAGAGAATAGAACAACATAAATTTAGTGACCGGAATTAACAAATTCGCATGACAAGAATACAAGAATGTGAAGTTTCCTAAGGGTTTGACAGCCTCTCGAAGATAAGTACAAACGTCTTCGTACCGATCTACAAGACTCTACTAAACCTGCTTATGACTCGTGAGACCTATGTAACCTAGGATTTGATACCAACTTGTCACGACCCAAAACTTAGCCCGTCGTGATGGCGCCTAACGTGGTACTAGGCAAGCCGACACTTCAATATATTTCCAACACTTTTAAATAAAAAATAAGAATAACACAGGTGTAAATTATCAAAACCTCAAAACATGATAGAAAGTCAAAACTCAATACAAAAATTCCTAACATCGGGGTGTCACTAAGTACATGAGCGTCTATACAACACAAATCTAGAAATACTAAAACTAAGTACATTAAGTTGAAAGATAGGGAAGGAGAGACAACTATTCAGTTCCATAGAATTGACCAGGTCATAATTCCTACGGTGCACGCCCACACGCCCGTCACCTAACATGTGCTTTACCTCAAAACTAATCACATGACACATATTATGGGTTTCATACCCTCAGAACCAAATTTAGAACTGTTACTTACCTCAAATCGTGCAAATCCCTACTCCAACACGCTCTTGCCTCGTGAATCGGCCTCCAAATGCCTCGAATCTAGCCACAAACAGTTCGATACAATCAACACGAGATAAAGGATTTAATTCCATAAGAAAAACACTAAGTTATTAATCAAAAGTCAAAAGTCGACTCAAAAGTCGGCCCTCGGGCCCACGTCTCAAAATCTAATAAAAGTTACAAAACCCGAAAGCCCATCCAACCACACCAAATCGCCCCTCAAAACCCCAAATCAAACTCTCCAAATCCATAGCCTAAAATTCCCAAATTCCAACTTAAATACACACATATTAGGTGGAAAATTCAATGGGGAAACAAGATTATTGATTAAAAATGAACACAAGTGACTTACCTCAAGAAACCCCTCGAAAATCCTCTCAAAAATCGCCTAAGACCAAGTTTGAAATGCCCAAAATGAAGAAAAATTGAGAACCCTTGAATTTAAATGTTATGTCCAGTCTTTTCGCTCTTGCGGACACTTAACCGCATCCGCAGTTCAGCTTTTGTGGAAAACCCACCGCTTATGTTGTTTTTCCAAGGCTGCACTGCCTCCGCTTCTGCGATAGCCCTCTACAGAATCGCTTCTGCGAGAAGCAGTTTGCTTCTGCGGACACTAGCGCATCTGCGACCTCTGTCCGCATCTGCGACCCCTGTCTGCATCTGCGATCACGCAGGTACGGAATTTCCCTCGCACCTGTGACCACTGCACTCTCCCTTTTTTCCGCTTCTGCGCTTCCATGCTAGCTTCTGCGAGCTCGCACCTGCGATCAAAAATCCGCAGGTGCGATTGCACCAACAAACTCCTTCCTTCAGCAATGCACTAAGTCTCGTTTTGATATGTTAACTATCTGAAATCAATCCGAGCCCCCCGGGACCTCAACTAAATACACCTACAAGTCCTAAAATATGATACAAACTTAGCCGAGCCCTCAAATCACCTCAAACAACATCAAAAATACGAATCGCACGCCAATTCAAGCCTGTTGAAACTAAGAAAATTTCAACTTCTACAAACGATGCTGAAACCTATCAAATCACGTCCGATTGACCCCAAATTTTGCACAAAGGTCACAAATGACACCACAGACCTACTTCAACTCCCGAAACTCCAATCCGAACCCGGTAACCATAAAGTCCACTCTCGGTCAAACTTCTAAATTTCCAACTTTCGCCATTTTAAGCCTAATTCAACTATAGACCTCCAAATCATAATCCGGACACGCTCCTAAGTCCAAAATCACCAAACGGAGCTAACAGAACCATCAAAACTCCATTCTTGAGTCATTTACGGATAAGATAATATTTGGTCAACCTCTTCAACTTAAGCTTCCAACCTTGAGACTAAGTGTCTCAATTCATTCTGAAATCTCTCCGGATCTAAACCGATTACCCCGACAAGTCACATAACAGCTATAAAGCACAAAATGAGCAGTAAATTGGAGAAATGGGCTACAACTCTCAAAACGACTGGCTGGGTCTACAATTAGCCATCATACTCACTCAATTCTCAACCGAGAATTCATCTTGCTTCTTCCTTCTTTATAGTTAACTAATCATTACTTCCTTCCTACAATCATTACCTATTATTATTAATTCTTCTCTCCAATCTTTCAAACTCTCTGGATTTATTATTTAATTTTGCTGAATCTTGTATCATCTAAATAAATAAAGGTATGCTTGTTTAATCACGGGGAGACATTTCACACTGATGAAATAGTTTCTTAGGATAGTGCCTAGCACGACTCAAGCCAATTGGTGTATTTCCACTCACAAATAATATTATTGTTTTGAGTATTATTATTATTTTCATGTGTCATTTCCCTACACATACATCTATATATAATTTAGTGATCGTCAAGTTATATATATTTTTACTTTAATTTTTAAAGGTAGTTTGATGTAAAATAGATATGGATAATTATTTACAAACTAGTAACAACAGCTAAGAAGAATTACGCAAGTAGAAAATGAAGAAAAAATTGCTGTTGTTTGGTACAGATAGTTGGCGAAGAATATTCTCCCCAAAACCCCCCTCCTTTCTCTTCTCTATCTATCTTTGAGCTGAGCTGAGCTGAGCTGAGCTGAGAGAGAGAAGAACAACCCGACGACGAAGAAGACTTGTTTACTCTCTCGACACAGAGAGATCAATATAGACTTTCTTCTTAACTTTGCAAACTTGTATAAATGGATCAGATATTGAACAAGTTGGGTTCCTATTGGATAGGTCAGAAAGCCAACAAAGAGATCAATTCCGTCGGCGATGACATTAACGTACGTCCCTTTTTCCCTATTTACTTCTTTCCCCAATTTGCATTTCTCTACTTTATGGGTTTTTGAGCACCACTAGGGTTTACTGTTTACGCCAATAACCAATTCTGTTTATGTCTGATTTCCCGAGGATTTAATTCCGGGGTAGCTTAAACTACTTTTTGTTGGAATCACTAGATAGCACTTTCGATTTGATTGATTTACCATTAAAGATTAACTTTTTATGGTCACTGGTGGTGATATATGTACCCTCCTTTTGAATATACTTAATTAGAAGTTTATTCTTCTTAATTGCGTTTTTCTCTTTTAAACTGTTCTTTTTTGTGAGCTTGTTTTTAGGGAAATTCTTTCAAATTTAGTCTCATACCTCTAGAGAGAAAGGAATGGAAAATTAATGTGATAATTATACATATGAGTGCAAACGGCATGGTGATAAAAAGTTTATTTAAAAGACATATGTCATGCATTTATTGGTTTGGCGGAAATACATATGCTGGTAACTTTTTTCCTGTGACATATTGTTGCTTGTCTACAAGTGAAGTGCCTTTGCTTGTTTCTCTAATAAGTACATTGCAACATCGTTTATTGAGTTTAATCATGGAGGGATTACTTCGATTTTGTACTCCATTTGAACTGAACTTTAAGTGAGCTTTCTATCTAAGCCATGGTTTAGCTACTGATATGTTTGAGTGACATGAGGTTCTCCTGTATCCTATCTCACATACAGACGAATCTCTGAGGGAATATAGGCAGTAAGCTTCGTAGTTTCTTCATTAAACACATAGTTGGTGACATCATGAGGGAAAATACCTGCTGGAATGTCGTATTCCTTCGGCAAATGTCACGAGGCTTTTGCATTTTTCCTAAGAATCTATTGTTGAGTAGGGATGACTGATGAATGAGCTGCTGAGTATGCTGGCATTTGGCAAAATAATAGCAAAGGAAAAAGGAGGTCAGGACTTGTACTCATGGGCATCCTTAGATAATTACCGGAAAAATGAAGCATCCTCCCCGTACTGATGAGCATCCTTAGATGATTACCGGAAAAATGAAGCATCCTCGAGAAATGAATCAGTGGTGTTCCCTATGAGTAAACGAAAAATTTGATATGAAAGATTTTTTGTGTATAACGTTTGAGAATGCAAATTCGTAAAAAATATATTTGGATTAATCAAACCATCCAGCTAAGCGCCTTAACCTGCTTTTCCTTTCAAGAGCAGGATGTATGAGGAAATGACTCTCTAAATAGCGGGAAATAGATTATGAACAAAGTGATGCCACAAAGATCTCATTTTTTTCTCATAGTCCAACACAAAAACCGCAGCTTGACAAACTTTTAATAAGTCTTGTTACCTCCCATATGTTAGTGTTTTACTTATCAAGTTTTGGGCCAATACTCTATTCTTTCCCATGAATTTTTCTTCTCCTCAATGTTGCAAGGCGGGGCTAGACAGATTAGTATCTTTGCTGTAATCATCACTTGTTTAATTGTAGACAAAGATTGTTGGAGTGCTTGGGCATAAACTTTGTTGAATGACATCCTCTTTCTTTCCATTATTGCATTCTTGGATTTCAAAGCACAAGAAAATTTCTTATGCAAAACGGTAGAACACATGCTCTGTGTCTTGACCTCCTTTGTTATTACAATAAGTGCACAATCAACATCCGATCATGCCATAGATCCCAAAGGCTGAAGCTTTACTGATGAATAGGAACTTATTTCCTGAAAATCTAGGTATAATGCTAGGATATGCTTTTCTTCTCCTTTTTATTATACAGAACGATGCGTATTAGTAGTATGAAAAACATTTTACTGATGAAAGTACAAGATCCATCTTCAAGTTCCTGCACTGGTGAAACTATTAATTGAAATTTATGTAATAAATTAAAACAAGTTCCAATTTTATTCAAATATTGATGAGTGTCAATTTGTTTTTGAGTTGAGACTATTTAAGTAATACATGCCCTAACCAAAAGAAATATGTTTACTTTTTTTTTCAAGTAAAACAAAATATGTTTACTACGTACGAGGGTGATAAGACTCGGGTGAGCACAGTGGGAGGGGACTCGGAACACTTCCTGGTTATGATGGGGCTACATTAGGGGTCAGCCCTCAACCCATTTCTGTTTGCCCGAGCTATCGATGCACTGACGCGTCACATTCAAGGGGAGATGACGTGGTGCATGTTATTTGCTGATGATATTGTATTGATTGATGAGACGCGTTGTGGCGTTAACGAGAGGTTAGAGGTATGGAGACAGACCTTAAAGTCAAAGGGCTTCAAGTTGAGCAGGACCAAAACAGAATACTTGGAGTGCAAGTTCAGTGGCGCGACTCAGGAAGAGGACGAAGACATGAGGCTCGATTCACAAGTCATCTCTAGGAGAGATAGTTTCAAGTACCTTGGGTCTATTATACGAAGGAATGGAGAGATTGACGAGGATGTCACGTATTGGGGCGGGATGGATAAAATGGAGGCTCGCTTCCAGTATTTTGTGTTATAAGAATATGCTACCAAAACTTAAAGGTAAGTTCTATAGAGCGGTGGTCAGACCGACTATGTTGTATGGGGCAGAGCGTTGGCCAGTCAAGAAATCTCATGTCCAGAAGATGAAGGTGGCTGAAATGAGGATGTTGAGGTGGATGTGCGGGCATACCAGGTTAGATAAAATTAGAAATGAAGTTATCCGGGACAAGGTGAGTGTGGCCCCTGTAGAGGACAAGATGCGGGATGCGAGACTTAGATGGTTCGAGCATGTGAAGAATAGAGACACTGACGCTCCGGTGAGGAGGTGTGAGAGGCTAGCATGGGAGGGCCAACGGAGAGGTAGAGGCAGGCCAAAGAAGTATTGGGGGGAGGTGATTAGGCAAGATATGGCGTTGCTCCAGCTCACCTAGGACATGACCATGAATAGGAAGATGTGGAGGATGAAAATAAAGGTAAAGGGTTAGGTGGCCGAGTGTTCTTGTTTGTAGCAGTAATTTTGATACACCAGTTGGTGCCTTTCGTGTTTTTTTTTGTATCCTTAGACTTCTGTTACTAATTGTTGTTGTCTTTTGTTTTAGTTTCTTGATTGCATTACCTACTGCATAGTTTTGTATTTTTACTTCGGTTGTCAGATCGGTTTGCTTGTTATTGCACTTCCCCTCTCCCTGTCATGAGCCGAGGGTCTACCGGAAACAGCCTTTCTGCCTTCTTAAAGGCAGGGGTAAGGTTTGCGTACATTCTACCTTCTCCAGACCCCACTTGTGGGACTACACTGGGTATGTTGTTGTTGTAAAATATGTTTACTAATTTGCAATTTGCTCGGAGAAACCATTTGATTATATTTTATTGATTTTGTTGAGATCGCTTCTATGCATGGAATTTATCCCTTCTCGTCTTCTTTTTACATGTGTCTGAGACTTCTTCCCCTTTTTAAAATTAGTCCTTGCAAAGCAGTATTGAAGGAGGAAGCAAATGGCTGGTGAACAAGATTAAAGGTTAGTCTTCCTCCTCATTACTCTTTTAGCTCCTTTTGTCTTCTCTAAACTTTTACGTCCAACTCTGATGCTGTCTGGATATTAGCGTGCTAGCAGGCCTCCCCCTAGTAAACATTAGGCTGGCGCGGGAACAGGGAAATAAAATGTTTACCTTTTACTTCTTGTGTGGTGTGTCTCATGATGTGTAGGATAGTGGATATTCAGGCTGCGGATTAAACTAGCTTGTGATAAACCATGTTGAATGTCCCCAAAAAAGCTCTCTTTCAATCAACAAAATGAGAAATGGGGGAGAAGGAAAAAAGAGGTCTTTATTGAAGAGATAGGACTAATGCAGAACACATCAAATTCTAGTTTTATCTCAGGAAAAATCAATTCTTTCTTGAAATGAAAAAGAAGCTAAGCTGTTTACCTGGATGTTTCGACTAATTTACTAGTTAAATGTTTGATTTCTTAAAAAGTATACCCAAATATTTTCTCATATAGAATTCTTCATTTACTCGTAGAAACAACATTGATTAATTTAGTTGAAGATGCTGTCATTTTATTGGTAATAATCTAAGGACACTCGTCAGTGAGCGCTCTCTGTCTCTCTCTCTCTCTTATTCCTTTGCCAAAATAGTCAGGAGCTAACTTATCGCCTGCTTTGCATTGGATTTGCAGGAAAAATGCAAAAGCCATTGCCAGAACTGCTGAAGGAGTATGACCTTCCAGTAGGCATCTTCCCTCGTGATGCCACCAACTATGAGTTTAATGAAGAAACCAAGAAGCTTACTGTATATATTCCCTCAGTATGTGAGGTTGGTTACAGGGATTCATCTGTATTACGCTTCTCCACAGCTGTTACTGGGTACTTGGAGAAAGGAAAGCTAGCCGACATTGAAGGAATGAAAACAAAAGTGATGATGTGGGTAAAAGTTACTGCTATTTCATCTGAAAAATCAAAGCTTCATTTCACGGCTGGCTTGAAGAAAACCCGTAGTAAGGAAGCTTATGAGGTCTTGAGAGATGGAGTCGCTGTAGATAAATTCTAATGTTGTCAACTTGCTATGAATACTGAGATTGTTATCTATCTGTAAAGCCTTGAGGCATGTTTGAGTTGTTGTAGTTACGACTTCTCTGTGAAACAGTTGTGTGAATAATTTTGAATTTGGATTAAATTGTAATGTCAATTGCAAACTTACGAAACATAAATATGTGGTTAAACCAGATTTGGCATGTGTCAAAGTTGAGTGTCTCTTTTAGTTGGGGATCGTATCTATCTAGCTCTGTTTATTGTCATTGTCAAAAATAGTAAACAAAAAGAGGAATGCACCAGCCGGGAATCGAACCCGGGTCTGTACCGTGGCAGGGTACTATTCTACCACTAGACCACTGGTGCTGTCATCTATTCATTCTCGGGACATCCTATTCTATACACAAGACATTTGTAGTGCTAATACTAGGACAAGACATTTTAAAGAAGATGAGGTTGTTATAGAGCTTAGGTATTAGGATAAGCAGTTGGAAAAATAAAGATAACAGATACCAAACTTCTTTTTCATTGATCTTCCTGATAGTGCAAAGCTTGATCGTTTTTTTGTCAATTTTTTGGAGTGAACTCTCAGCCTAATGAAAGGATAAATATATACTGTATTTGTTCCGGTAATGCACTTTTAATATATAGTTTTGCAAAGCGAAGCCGTCCCAAATTCAATTTCCCTGAATAGTATTTTCTCCGTCCGTTGAGCGGTAAGTATTATTATATGATTGCATAATTGAAATGATAAACCAAGCTTTGGAACTTAGAGATGTATACTTTATTATATATCTGATGTTTAATGAATTATTCCTTTAACTAAGCCTCATTTAACCTTTATTGAATAACTCGAACAAAGATCTGAAAAAGGAAATTATACTCAATACCCTTTGTCTTGATTTTTTGTCTTCCACTATTGTCCTATGGGCAAACCTTTAAGGTTAAAAGTTAAAAGTATTGTCCATGGAAACAACACATTTGTTAAATTTGAAGTTCTGCTCATAAAACAAACGGAGTCAAAAAAATCAACGGTGACACGGAAATGTCCTATTTGTGCAAATCACTAGACCTGGAAGGCTCATAAAAGTGACCATGCAAAATTATTAAAGTTCCAAAATAGTTGATTCACATTCAATGTAGTTATATTTCAGTATAACTAGGATTACAACATTGAACCTCATGTCAACGATATTTCAAACTTTTCACGCGCAACAATTAATTTGATAGTACTCATAATAATTGAAATAAAAATCTCCCTTACAGTGATTCTTGTCAAATCAGCATCTCAAATTCACGAAGCATGTTAAATGAAGCAACCAATAGCAGCCCAAGCAATATGCTAGTGGGCACCTCAAATATAGCACAAAGTATACAGTTAAGAGCAAAACCAAACAAAAGTACAAGGCTAGCAAAATTATAGAAAAGCACATTAGTTTCATGCTAGAGTTAGAAAAATCAATTGTTCTATGCAAAATTATAGAAAAGCACATTAGTTTGGATTAATTCTTCATTGTTTTTCTCCTTAAACTCCATCCATTTATAAGAGCTTCTGACCAACTGATTCAAATTAAACCCACAATTTTCGATACAGAACATAT